AGGAAATGGTTTGGATTGTAACCTAGCCTGTGGAACAATACGTGTTAACACCCCCCCCCTGCTGTTAGGTAGTTAGGTAATCTCGCCTTTAGTGCTTATTAGTGATAAAGAAAACTAGTTACCTAAACAACTTACCCTTTGCGAGTTTAAAAAACTGTGAATATAGAATTTTAATTAGAGCAGCTTTTATCTGTGTGAAATAGCAAATCTTAACAACTTAGAGACACAGCAGAAACCAACACTGACAAAAAGCCCCAATTTGAACCTTATAAGTCTCATTATAACCCTTTCTATTTTATTTATTTATTGATTTATTTGTTATTGTTGCATGACCATTCATACAGCATATGCCATATTAGGAAAATACATAGAAAGTACCAGCACTGTGAGCTGTGTTCAAATGAGCCTGCATATGCATTGACTGTAGCACCTGAAGAACTCTGTAAATTGTCCTTCATTCCCAATGCCAAATTGAATAACGAGTAAAATTGATAAAAGTTCAGGAAATTTGAGTTGCAATTCCTATTTTAAGGTTCACTTTCCCCTATGAGAAAGATAACTCAAAGGAATAAATGTTAATTATGTTAATTTCCTCATACTCTTGACAATTTATTTATTTCACAGTGCTTCAATTAGCCTATAAATTATTATTATATAACTTCTTTTTATAGTCTTTTATTTGTAGAATTGTATTTCAATACCCAAAGTTCTCTTCTTTTATAGATATTAAACAAGTGACTAGACCCATGTTTTTAGAACATTGTCAGGAAATAAAAGCCCATGCTGAAATTAATCTCTGTGTAAATAATCAACATTTGTGAAATAATCTATATATAATAAATTAGTAAAATAAGTTTACCTGATTTTTCATGTTAACTTAAGATGGTACAAAACTTTTCATTTACTAAACACCACTTTATAGGATACAAGGCCTTTAAGCTGTTAAGGGGTGATAAGACATTAAGGAGGCTAGGAGGTCAACAATTATTAACCACCAGATATATTTTAAATTTTGGGATATGATATCTTAAGCTGTCAACTATCACTTGGCAAAGAAAAATTTCATAAATTTTAGCTTTAAAATTTGATCAGTTACATCTTTATTGAGCTCTTCTTCTAAAGGAGATCCAAATAGCCTAAACATGGCCACAACCACCCAGTCCCTTTAAATATATGTTTATATTGTGTTATCATCAAACCTTCTAAATTAAGGTAAAGGCGCTGTTAGAGAAATTCATGATTATGCTCATGTACACTGGAGACGGCTTCCAAGGAACAAACAGAATGGCCTTCTTTTATTTTCTTTATGTATAATTTTAACTACACCATTGACCAAAATGACAACATGGAATATATGCGAAACATGCCCTTCGCCCCATCTTACTTAATCTGAACCCTTTGATATATATTAACCAGCAAAATATTAGCTAGCCTTGCTAGATATTACATGTAGTTAATCAAAATAAAATTTGGGGAATCCTACTTATATCAACTGTTACTAATGAACCATTGAGGTCCTAAATTACTATGCCCACATTGTTATTGTTCTTGTTGAATCTAAGTTGTCCTCCCTATCAAGCCCCTTAAGAGAAGTGATATCCGAATAGGTGAGGATGCTGTTGGTCCTAATATATTATTATTATGTGGATTTGACAGACAATGTACAATTCAACTATGGTGCATGTTACCTATGTCGGGTATGCCTCCCACATTTTACAGCCTGAATTGTTGATTGCAATGCTTCCATCCAACTGAATTTTTTTACTCAAAATCTATTTACTTTTTTAGTCATCATTCATATTTACTTACCTTGAGTTTTGTCATATAGCATGTGTACAACTGTAAATATGTATAATACAAATACACATCTTACTTGATGTTTCATTCATATCATAAAATGCATTATTGTAATGTTACATTCAAAAGCACCAAAAATTGTTATGTATTTTACTTCAAACTATTTTATTTCACAATTGATTACTGCCTTTGTCGCAATTGCATATCTTTCATGCCTCTCTTTGGACCCCTGTTAAAGTTGAATGGCCTTGATTGAAATTTATAAACTTTAATTAGAGTTATGTCCCTTTGTGAATCTAGCTAAATAACATTTCTAAAGATTTGTCAAACTTTTATTACTTCTCAATCTGTATTTCTTTTTTTTCTTTTTTTTTTATTTATTCACTGTTTTTAGGACAAAAGGTAAACTGGTATGGCAATGCTAGGGTAACCCTTTCCTTGAACATTTATTTATTTTTCTAAAAAATCACTCAATATTTTAAATAAACTGATAAATTGCACCAAATCCAAAGTTACAAAAGCATACTCATACTGTAAGAATTATAATTATGGATATTCCCATTTTTAAATCCCCTAAAGATAGGCTAAAGGAATCTAAGTAACTAAATATAGGCCACCATGTGTACGGATGTTTATTGGCAAATGACCTTGAATAACATGGACCGAATAAAGTTGAAGTTCATACCTATTTTTACATTAGCTCATTTTGTTTATAGATTATTTCTCTAAGTAAGTTTTTATTCATTCAAAATCTGCTGATGAAGTTGGTTATTATTACCACATTGTAATCTTGTACCATGTGCCAGTGTTTAACAGGTCTGGGCGGCCTCCGTTTTTGGAGGATACATGTAGCTAGATTCATTAGGCAGCCAGATTTTTTACCATATATGGAAATCGCAATGCAATGTCGGATAGTTTATCTTCTGATTTCAGAGGATAGCACAGGTAATTTTCAAACGCCGCATGCCTACCTTTAATCAAAAAGTGCAAGCACCAGAGTACAATTAAATAAAAGATCAGACATTAAACTATCAATTGTATGTGGCGATTTGAGATTCTATGTCTAGAATTTTTACAATACGCTTTCAAAGTTGGCACTTCTTGCGCTTCATTTCTACTTAATATTTCTTGTTATTTTGTTTAATTTTTATGTTTTTTCCCTATCAGGACAAATAAAAAGGCACTTAAATGCTCAAACAATACATAAATAACATTACTTTCATATTTCTTTTAATTAAAGATTAGAGGAAAAGGAAAAACAAAAGAAAACGTACTGTAAAGACAAAATACACTCTGCCTGATAATTTAAGCAAAGATAAAATAAATATTATTTAGAGAAAATAAGAAAAAAAAATCCCACTTTTTATCTGTGCAGCATCTAAACTTCCGCTAGAGTTCTTAGATGAGGCCTCGACGGGGACCATGCATTCGCAGTATATATATTTCCACGGACAACGTAAGTTTCAGTCAGATTAGTTTTGACAACGGGTAGACGCAATTGAATTTAAGTCAGTCTTATAAGGGGGACGGTCTAACCACTGAAGTATGGATAATACCCCCACCCCCTTTTTTTAATGAAAAAAAAAATGGGAAACACATCTATTTGTCGTTATATGCAAGCAGATTGTACTTTTTCTCACGTTTAAAGAATGGCCCTATTCGGTATATTTTTATTATAAATACACCATTCTTTAAACGTGAGAAAAAGTACAATCTGCTTGCATATAACGACAAATTGTGTTTTTTATATTTTTGAAAAACTCTTACATTTTTTTTCAAAAAAGAGGGGGTGGGGGTATTAATACTTCAGGTGCAAAATATAATTCGGAAGAAAAGTACTGACTACGATTTGACTTACACAATTTATGGATTTTACTAATCAAACATTACAAAATTTACTTTGAATAATAATTATTGCATAAAACGTTCCCCCAACCTGCTTACCCACGAATCCCAATGCAAAATTATCTTTTGAATAAGTATTTGACAAAAGTTGATTCACTTGCAGCACACTTCGTTACTTTTTCATCCACGTCAGTGAATTACTTTCATTTTCATCGTCTCCAATTTAAAGACAAGTGTGTTTTATTTATTTATTTATTTTTTGAGTAAAATAAGATTAATTTTAGGGACAATAGGTTTTGGGTGTGTATAATTATTGTTTTAAATTATGTACAACTTTGTTGATACAAGTATACACTCAAACATTAACAGTATTACAGAAATATGTGGCAATATATTACTTCTGGAAGAAAGAAAATCGGGGGTCCCTTTTAGTGAGAGCATACCACGAAAAGTAATGCGTCAACATATATTTTTTTTAAGCATCATTTTTCTTAAATATAATTTAGTAAAAATAATGCAAATTTACGAAGTTTGAGTCCATATTTTTTTTTAAATGACCAGAGATTGTCCCCACTATTTTCTGACATTAAATTTTTGATACAATATTACAAAGTGCATCTATTTATAATAATTCATGCAAAACAATGATTATATATTGTTTTATACTAATATGTTTCTACTTATTTTGGGTATTAAAGTTGAATATTTAGACTTAAATTAATTTATATACAACAAAATCTAGGATAGGTTAAATTTCAGTATTTTACATTTAGGGGTATATACTTAGATAGGCTATAGCGGAAAAGTGAACATGTTGACATATAATTTTTCTTGTGTCTATCCATTGCTGGGATGTGTGTCTATCTTAAATTGCACATATTTCAGCTTGTCTGTAAATATGTGCCGTTATCAAAGCTCTCCTCTTTATAATTAGCATTAAACTATATTAATTTGGATTTATGTATTGTTTAGATTTAAAATTGGTTTGTGTGGTTGATAATTGTGTAGATCAATCTGTTGTGTAATCCGGAAACTTGATCACTCTGAATTTACAGCATCCCCACTTCCTTTTTCAACAAAGGCCTGTAACCAGCGGATGGTTTAGAAATTAAAGTGAAAAATAAAGTGAAAAATAATTTTAAAAATAACTATTAATTAATTTTCGATTTTCAAAATTAGTCGAATCAACGACATTACAAGACATCTAAGACCTGGAGCGCTTCCGATGGCAGCATATTTGTTGGATATTTGGTTTTGGGCAGCGTGCAGCATCCTGTAGTGTGTCGGTATCGCCATTATTCTGTGTGCAGGCATAACTTTCTTCAATTAACAAACCGAACTTAAATAAATTTGTAAGCATGCCGCCCATAAGGACAAGACGCAGAGGAGAGAAGAGCAAAAAACAGGTCGGAGGAGAGGCCCAGCCCCAGGTTCAGGATGATTGGTTGGCGACACAACAAGCACCGAGGCACTGTAATTTAACTGACCAATCAGTACAAATAATTTTCTGTCGCAAATGGGGGTTCTATCTAACCAATCAGATAAGAAGGCAAATATGAAAATTCAAATATTGAAAAGCTAACTTTTTGTATTGGGTAATGATGGCCAAAACCTCCTCCAACAATTGCTGCCTTTCTAATTTATTTGAGCATATATACATCTGTCCATACAGGTAAATATCAGGATTTACTGCACAATGTACGTGCGAGGTCCTCTGGGTGGAATAAATTCCGTCCGATTACGGCATTGTGGGTCATTAAACATCACCTTCGGGAACTGTAGGGGCAAATAAATGTTACGCATTTAATTTTCAGGGGTTTTGTGTAAGGAAACCATGCTCGTACACGCACATTTGTATAAAGTGTGGTCAAGATCATGCCATGGTAAATTGTCCTTTCTCTGTAAATGTAGTTACAGGCAAGCTTCTTATTTCAGCCCAAGACAGGCCTTCCCAGGGGTCCAGCAATCCAGTCGACTTAACGTGCTTGCAAAATTCTCGAGATTTATGGGAAATAGGTTCAACACCAATTAGGGTTTCTGCATTGGCACCTTTTTTGCACCAATATCCAATAAGGAATGTAGCAAATGAAATATTACAAGGATTCACTTATGGGTTTAAGTTAAATTATTCAGGTCCAAGAATGTTTATTTTATCTCAGAATTTGCTTTCGGCTAGGCAATTCCCTAATCAGTTGCAAGAAAAAATTGTTAAAGAAGTACAGGAGGGAAGGGTGCTGGGCCCATTTTCACACCCACCTATACCTAATATGCACATTTCTCCAATTGGTCTAGTCCCAAAGTCAAGTTGGTTGGAGGATGATTACACATCTTTCATGCCCTCCATCACTTGGCATTAACTCATTTATTGACCCAGATGATTGCAGCGTTAAATACACAGCTTTTGATACAGTAGTCGATATGATAAATCAGGGCCCGGTGCTGAGTTAGGAAAGGTCGACATTAAAAGTGCTTTAGGTTACTCCCAATATACCCTGGGGGATTTTATCTGTTAGGATTTAGATTTAAGGAAAAAGTACAAGTGCTTACCCATGGGATGTTCTTTCTTGTTCAATTTTCGATTTTCAACATTTTTGCAGTGGGTTATAACAAATAAATCTGGTTTAAATACAGTAGAGCACTATTTAGATGATTTTATCTTTGCAGGGAGTAGGGGATCAGGGGAATGTTTGCAATTAATGACATTATTCCAGGTTGTGTGCAAAGATTTTGGGGTTCCTTTAGCAGTGGATAAAACACAAGGACCTGTTACTTGTTTAGTGTTTTTAGGGTTAGAAATCATTTTTTTTTCAAAGGTCTGCTTGGCATTTTAATGGAAAGGTCAAAGGTTAAGTTGAAAGAAATGGAATCATTAGTTGGAAAGCTCAATTTCTTTTCCAAGGCTATCAGGGGTAGTAGGGCATTCACAGAAGATTTTATGATTCTATGATTGGCATTTCCCGTCCCAATAGTCACATTAGAATCACTAGGGCATTGAAAGAGGATATGTTAATGTGGGTTAAATTTTTAGACCATTTCAATGGAGTAGCTTTCTTCCCATGTTCAGAATGGGTGAATTCAAGAGCAATACAGCTCTACACAGACAGTGCAGGAGCTATTGGTTTTGGTTGTGGGTGCTATTTTAAAGGAAGGTGGGTTTCTTATGAATGGCCTGTAGAATGGGAGAATCATGATATCATCAGAGATATAACATTTCTTGAGTTAGCCCCTATAGTGTTGTCAGTTATGCTTTGGGGGGAGGAACTTAGCTGTCATAAGGTTCAATTTCATACAGATAATATTGCCTTGGTAAGCATCCTGAACACTTCATCAAGGTCTCCGCGAATTATGTTTTTAATAAGGAAGCTAGTTTTGATGCTAATGCAATATAATATTATATTTAAAGCCAAACATATTTCTGGCATTGATAATGGTATAGCAGATGCTCTTTCTCGTAAACAGTGGGGAAGATTCCGACAACTTGCTCCAACAGCAAACCAGGTCCCAGATCCCATTCCATCCACATTTCACAGTCTGATGTCCAGGGGGAAGTTTCTCGACTATTGATTGCATCCAATTCCTACAATACTACAGTAACCTATAAAACAGGGATCATAGCATTCCACAAGTTTAGAAATATGTCAAATGAAAAAATTATCTGGCCTCCTCCTGTGGAGCAGATAGTTAACTTTATCGCTTACCTATCACTTAATGGCTATGCAGAGTCTACGGCTAGAGCCTATGTAGGGGCTATTGGCTATGAATGCAAGATAAATGGATTCGAAGACTCAACTAATAGGTTTATTGTTTCTAAAGTGTTGGAGGGTTTCAAGCGTCTCAATTCTAGGGTTGATACAAGGTTGCCAATTACAGAAAAAATTTTGGCGAGATTAACGGGGGCATTGAGCAGTGTGTGCTCAAGTTTTTATGAAGCTAAATTATTCACAGCAGCATATACATTAGCATTTTTTGCCTTTCTGAGGGTGGGAGAATTAGCTATATCTAAGGGCAACAACTCTCAAACCATTTTGGGAATTGGTGATGTGAACATACAAAATAATCAACTGACATTGTGTATAAGGTGCTCTAAAACTGATCAGTTGGGAAAGGGGGTAAAAGTAGTGGTAAATAATCATGGTTCGATTATTTGTGTGCAGGCAATGACTAAGTTTTTAGAAGTAAGGCCAAACTTTCCGGGCCCCTTGTTTTGTCATTTTGGAGGAAAGCCACTTACAAGATATCAATTTTCAGCAGTTTTAGATAAAGTCATTGTAGCTATTGGACTAGAGAGCAAGTATTACAAGTCTCATTCTTTTAGGATAGGGGCTGCAACAACAGCAGCAGACAAGGGTTTTTCAGATGAAGAAATTAAAATAGCTGGCAGATGGAAATCAAGTGCCTTCCAGACTTATATAAGATCTCCACTTAGTCGAACATCTCCATTATCATAATTAGCATATTTAATCTAACTGGCATGCATCTGTTAATTAATATTACAGGGTTCCCAAAACCAGGCAGAATTACAGTTTGGATTGTTGGCTCATCAATTATAAAAAGGGCATCCATAGCAGCAAGATTAAGACCGGGGGGATGGAGCCTTGGGCTGAACCAAAGAGGGGTAGATATTTGGTGGCAAGGGTACGGGGGTTTAAAATTTATTGACCTAGTTCAGAAGGTTAGATACTTGGCAACATTAGAGGATCCTCCAAGATATTTACTGATTCATTGTGGGGCCAATGATCTGGGTCAAATTAAATTGTCAAGATTATTGTACAGAATTAAGTGGGACATCCAATTACTGTCAAGTATCTTCACCAACACTACTCTCGTTTGGTCTTTTCTCCTCCCCCGCATTTCATGGAGACACTCGAGTAACATTAGAGCAATGGAGCAGGCAAGGGATAGGTTAAACAGATGGGCAGCAAAACAGGTATTTCAATATGGGGGGAGAATTATCATGCATTCCCAATTTGTAGGTAAACCTGTACAATTGTATCACTCAGACGGAACTCATTTGTCAGAGTTAGGGAATTACATTTTCCTCAACAACATTCAAGGGGCCCTGGAGTATTTTGCCAGTGGGGGTAAAAGCAAAGAATTTCCTTGTAAATAATTATCAAAGTTTTTGGCAGAGGCACAGTGGTCATCTTGAAGGTTCCTATACCATGTGGCGGTGGGCAACCTGATTGTATGTCTGCTAACGCACACATTCATCAGGTGCCCATGTGGCCATATCGTCACCTTCAAGCTGGATGTAGATATATGATGTTGACTGTTGATACGTTGATGTTGATTTAGTTGATTTAGTAATTTTTCATATAGACAGTTTAAAGTAAAGAGTTGTATATTAAATGATATGTTGATGTGTCGATAGCATGATTGTGATCAACCCAGCATGCTACTTGCCATTTCGGACGACACATAATATGTTGTTGTAGGGGGTGAGCCCTGTTGTCTGGCGACCCCAAAGTTGATGTTGTAAATTCATTTATATGACCACTGTGGCCAATATATGCCATACAATAAACTATAAACTTAAAAAATGTGTTTTTAATTCTAGAAATTCATAAGTATGCTACAAATGCAAGGAATTAGTCTTGTGTATTGAATTGTGGGGGCCTGGGTAGGATAAGTCATTATTGTCTTTGATAATTGCACATATTTCAGCTTGTCTGTAAATATGTGCCGTTATCAAAGCTCTCCTCTTTATAATTAGCATTAAACTATATTAATTTGGATTTATGTATTGTTTAGATTTAAAATTGGTTTGTGTGGTTGATAATTGTGTAGATCAATCTGTTGTGTAATCCGGAAACTTGGACCGGGATTTTATATGCATCTCGCGCATCACTCTGAATTTACAGCATCCCCACTTCCTTTTTCAACAAAGGCCTGTAACCAGCGGATGGTTTAGAAATTAAAGTGAAAAATACCCTCCCATCCCAACCCCCACATAATTACTTTGACTTGTATACTGTTTCTGCCGTTTAAGTTTTATACTTCCAGATACCAGGAATTGGCTACAGAGACAGGAATCCTTATACCTACATCTGGATACCAGGAAATGTCTACAGGGACAGGAATCCTTGGACCTAAATCTGGATACCAGGAAATGTCTACAACCGACAGGAATCCTTGGACTTACATCTCGTCACAGTGGTTAATTTGAAAGGTCAATGCGAATCAGTGAAGCCATATCGTCACCTTCAAGCTGGATGTAGATATATGATGTTGACTGTTGATACGTTGATGTTGATTTAGTTGATTTAGTAATTTTTCATATAGACAGTTTAAAGTAAAGAGTTGTATATTAAATGATATGTTGATGTGTCGGAAACATGATTGTGATCAACCCAGCATGCTACTTGCCATTTCGGACGACACATAATATGTTGTTGTAGGGGGTGAGCCCTGTTGTCTGGCGACCCCAAAGTTGATGTTGTAAATTCATTTATATGACCACTGTGGCCAATATATGCCATACAATAAACTATAAACTTAAAAAATGTGTTTTTAATTCTAGAAATTCATAAGTATGCTACAAATGCAAGGAATTAGTCTTGTGTATTGAATTGTGGGGGCCTGGGTAGGATAAGTCATTATTGTCTTTGATAAAAGCAGATTTTTAAAGATTGAGCCCATTTAGTGCCGAGTATAGAACTACCTTAAGTCATGTTGTTGAATGGTTATTTAGAATTAATAACTGAATTTATCGATGTTTCTTTTATCCATCAGATGGTCCAGAAAAGGCCGTAATTACACTGACACCATCATTATCAGTGTATTCTGTTGGCGATGAAGTAAAACTGGACTGTTTAACTATCAGTAACCCTCCGCCAGTGTACAGCTGGGGATTCTTATCTACCAATAGTAGTGAAGAGGAACACACTATCAACTTGGATAGAATCGGATCCTCTCTGCTGTTGAAAAATCTTCAAACCAACAATTCCGGAGATTATATTTGCTCTGCTTTCAATACGTTTAACGGGAAGACTCTGAATGTTACAGCTGTTGTACGTTTGTCAGTCAAAAATCCAGAAATACAGCTTACCTCTGCTTATCCGATGAGTGACGCAAAATTATGCCAACCCGGGGAAATATGTAAAGAAAAGAAAGGACAGTCTGCCGTTAGCATCAATATTTGGATGGTAATTTTTATTCTGTTGACCGTGATATTCGTTTCAACCACTGCATATTCATTCATTAAAGAAAAACCAAACTTACAGAGTTGTTTAAGGGAAAAAGATGTAAACATGAGGTACGAAGTTATATACATAATCTGATTGCCATTTTAAATTGTTTGAATACATAATAAAAGATTTAAATTTCTAATTTCAACAACTGATGTATTAGCGATTTTTTTTACCTGAAAACGCTCAAATCTGAATAAATTCCTTTTTTTCTTAGTAGTCCCTCCTTGGAGACTAAAGGAAGAGACAACAGTGAAGAAACGGACCAAGACGGGAATAAACTGTATGGTTTAGCTCTAAAACAAAAAAAAACTATCTTTTATTTTCTTTCTTTTTATCTGTGAAACATTTCAATCGAATGCCTTTCTGTTGTTAAAACAGAGAATTTTTTTCATTAAATTTATTATTCCAGTGCTGCTTACTTCAATACAAATTAAATGGTATATTCACAGTTTAACATTTTGCAATTTAATTTAAGACTTCCGAAAACTTTGATATTGAAATTTAAAATAATGTTATTGTTAAACTCTGGATCATCAGGCACCTGATACCATTGCAGGTGCTTTGGAGATCTGTGAATGTTCTTTATTATCTCCACATTTCACTTCATTTTTTTTCCTTTTTCAGGTATGACACTGCCTGGCGTTAATATGATATAGGATCAACTTTTTATTACTAGTAATGCATATCCATATGGATAAAAACAGTCGTCGATTCTTTGACCAAATTACTGGGAGTATATTTTTCTGTGTATAATGTCCTCGGTGCCCAGAAAGAAGCAAAAGACGCTTTTCAATGATTTAGTCTTTATAATTTAACTAAGATATTCTCTTTGAATTAAAACACATGTCCGTAACATTTTTATCCAATTTCTGATTGTTTTTAGAACTCATTTTTGAGTATGGTCCTTCATATATTGGATTATAGCAGATCCTATGATTTCTTTAACTTGTTTCTTCTTTCTAAAAGGTGTTGTTTTTTTTAAAGTTTGGAAAATGAATCAAGTCAAAGGATGAAAGATCTGGCGAATATTATTGTGTGACAAAATATTACCTTTCTGTTTGTCCCCAAAACTCCTTAACTCTTCATGGCGTGTTGGTTTGGACGCTGTCGTGAAGAAATTAAATGTAGTGAATTCCTCTTTCTGGTTCCTTTCTTTCAAAAACCTTTCGTTTTTTGTTGTTTTTTTTCAAAAAAGTTGCTTTTTGGACTCCTCCAGAAATTGAACTGCCTTCCCGAATAATAATTTGAACAACAAGACCACTAATATTTAAGAAAATGGCACATAAAACTGTCTTTGTCCTTCTACAATTCTTTGCTCTTCTCAGACCTTGGCTATTTCTGTCAAGTGCATCTTAAAGCTGACATGAATTCTTAAAAACGCAACATTTTCATCTATGTACGACTTGTTTCATACCAACTATAGCCGTATTCCGCCATATTTCTTTCAGATACATTGTCTCATTGTAACGATATATACCCCAATGCGGTCGTTACACTTGAATGATTTTGTGGCTTGGGTATCGACTTGTGCACATCTCCGATGGTAAAGCATATGAGAACACATGAGGTGATCAAGACATTTCAAAACCACAACAAACAACATAGTAATCATATTTCTGAATAATTATGATTTGTATCAGAAGGAAAAAATGCAAGTTTGGAAGAGAAATTTAGATGCATGAGTACGTATTTTACAGTGCGCCAATTTATGCAGAATAAGCTTGAAATAAAAAGCAGTAAAATTTGCAAACACATTTTGAAATTATATCATTTGAATGGAACAAAACAACCTACGTCTTTGATTTGCAGGTCCTAAAGATGCAATTGATGCATATCGAGAAAACGCCTCGAACGCTGTAAACGTACCCATACCTGGAAATAAGGTTACTGCATCGGTTCAAAGATGTGCACAAGTCAAGTGATATACACCCTGAATCCCATTTATTGAAATATGCATCACAAAAAAGAAATAAACTCCATAAAAGCTCAATAGTAAACACACTGTCATTACTCCGTACAGACTAGCATGTCGATAAACTTAGTCCGTGCTGATCACAGTTTGATCAGGGAAAATATCACAAGTGGAAAGAGAACTTATTTGGGATTTGCGCTGCTGAAAAGGGGGGGGGGGTTAAAGTATTATAACTGCTGTTCATAAGCTATAATTGTGAATTGTCTATCTACATGTACTTTTAATATACATTCTATACAAAGTCATGTATATAGTCTGCAGTTGGCTTGCGTCGCAAAATTCATTTGTCAATTATAACTGATTATTTTAGTACTAATCTCAAATCTAAACCAAGTAATTTGAGGTACGGTAATTATTTACTTCAAATCTTAAAAGCAATTCACCAGAATACAAATTTTTATGTGTACATCTATACGTTCATTAACACACACACAAACACGGAGAAAGGCCACCCCCTGTTCAGATTGACATTTAGGCATTTGATTTTTTTTTAGGCCGGGGGGGGGGGGGCATGCAAAAAAAAAATAGTCTAGCTATTTTTTTGTATAAGAATAATGTCTTTAGGAGTATTTGAGAGAGAATTTTACGAGCTAGAGTAGGGATACTTGACACTAGTTGAATACGGATAATTTTTATTAACTCTTTTGTATATTGAACTCTCTCTTTCTCCCTCTCCCATCCGTTAGGGCAATAATAGGTATAAAATCCCACACACTTTATGCTGTACCATTTATTAAGCCTTAGAACTGATTAAGGATTTTTCTCAGGCGGGATGTCGAAACTTCATAAATTGACTAATGATTTTAATTTGGACAAGAAATTAACCAAAACGCCCAAATTGAGAGAGAAACTAGGGGTATTGTGAGCAATGAGCTCACTAAATGATACCCCGCCTCCCATATGATTATAATGGCAAAGTCCATATTTTGCTGTTGTCGCTAAACCCAAATTATGTGTCGAATCAAAAAGCAGACACGTAGCATCGTATTTGAAAATGGTGGCCAGTCAGTGATATTTTTTAATTACCTGAAAAAGTCGACAAGCAAAAAAAAAAAAAACACCTTCAATTAACATTTCCTATAGTTTAAGTTAGGTCCCCCCCCCCCCCCCCCCCCGTTGCTACACCCCTGAAAAATAAAATAGGAGTTGCACAATAGTAATATGTAATAAACCTTAGATTCTGTGAAAGTTTCATTAAATTTCACTAAGTGGTACAAGATGATTTGCGGATAAGAGATTGGTACCCCAAAGCGTAAGAGACAGACGCACGGACAGACGGACGGACATAACGATTACTATATACCCTCCCACTTTTCAAGCGGGGGATATAATAAACGTGAAATATACATCACAGGAATGGGAACATTGGGTACTTTCTCAATTACCTTCTCAAACGTACGTGTCGAACCTGGACCTGGACAACAGACAAGAGAATTTTTAAAAAAGCTAATTGTAGGTAGAATGTGGAATTCTCATGGGGAGTTTGCTCTCTCTACCTATATGCTTTTTCTAATAATCATTAATTATTTATGTCTAGAAATTTAATTCACATTAAATTCTATTTTCATTATCATTGCACCACAGAATCAAACTCGTTTATTATACTCCTCGCAATAAGTTGCGTGCATGAGGTATAATGTTTTTGACCCGTCAGTCAGTCTTTTTTTTTTTTGTTTTTTTTTGGTCAGTGCAACTTCTCATACACCTCTGCACAGAGTTTTGTCCAATTTTGCAGATATTTATGGGATACAATGTGTGTGTAGATTTACACATCACCAGAAAATTCCGAATTCTTTATTTTTTCGGGAATTTCCGCACTTTCACATTTAGATTTTGGCCATATCTTGAAAATAGAGATGAACAGTTTGTTAGCGCAATTCCTCATAAACCGCTGCACACAATTTCGTCAAACTTTGCACGTATTTAGGACACAATGTGTATAGATGAGCATAATACATGGAAATTGCGATTCCTTTATTTTTTCTGGGAATTTCAGCACTTTGACTTTTGGGGAAGCGTGGGGTATGTGAACTTGCTCACTTTTTTCCTTCCATTGTGCATAAAATTATAGATAACTTTGTATCAAATTATATTAGTTCTAATAAAGCCTATACATAGTATTTATTTGATAATAATTAATCTGTTTCAGACGTTTTTCTTAAATTATTTTTATGAGAGTATTAATATGCATGTTTTATTACCCCCCCCCCCTCCTATCACTGTAAAATATCTTCAAAAGATGAATGATTCGTAAAAATACATGCTTTATTATAACTTTATTGAAGTTAAACCATGTAATCATAAATTTTATTTACTACATTTACAAACAAGAGTAATGTTTATTTTTGAAAAAAAAATTTCAGCCCCACTGAGCTTTCAACCTTTGATATTTTCCCTGACCAAATAAAATGATCGGCATGGGCCACGTGTGTCCAAGCATCTTTTACTATTGAGTTAGCAATGGATTACATGACTTCTGAGATGCATTTTTCAATAAAAGTAAAATAGGATAATTCTTTCGACATGTGCACACCCCTGTAACGATAGCAGTATTCAGGTAAATGTTTTATCACTGCGTTTGACGCGTTTTCTCGACCTGCATGGATTTTTGCTGTACATAAATGTATTCCATGTTAGTGTACTTTTTATATTGCAGCAAATGCATTCAAAAATAATTTAATTCTCGGTATAGCTCTATTTTTTGCTGAATTTTTACTTTTCAAACATGTATTGGTCAGTTTGTGGACTTCTAAAAACTATGCTATCGGAGATGTGTACATGTCGACAGCCAAACTAGAAAATCACTCAAGTGAAACAGTTCTACAGGGCTATATATAGCAGGTACAGGTGGCCAAAAATCTTCGATTAAATATGGCGGAATCGAACAAATATGTCGGACAAGGGCGTTTAGGAATGTAGTAAGTCGTACAAAGATGAAAGCTGATGCCTTTTTAAGAGTTCATGTCAGCTTTAATGTAAAAATGTTTTGAGGGTAATAAAGCAATGGATTCAAATGTATTTGTCTGTTTGAATTTCAGACAAACTTGAATAACTACTATTTCTGATTTTTTTAAAATAACTGTTCATATATTCTTACAGGATGTCGTTTTCACTTATTTTTTTCAAAACATAGTGTGTCCATTCAGTATCTAGATTCTTTACTGTCAAATGTTTCTTTAAAATGGTGCGAACTACCCCAAAATAATGCCTATTAAATTTGCTATGTGTTTTTAAGTCAATCAAACATCATAAGTGATAATTTGTTGAATTTTGGTAAATAGAACATTGGATATTGTAAATCCTTGTCGCCATGGACGGTACCCATTTTTGATGCCCATTATATCATTATTGTTCATTGAAATCCATCTGCTCATGTGTTTATAAAACAGCCATTGGTTGCTGTAAATTTCACAAATTTCAGTGATTATTTCTTTGGGATTTTCATCAAGTTTTACAGCTGCTGAAACGAAGCGTTTATTTTCACTTTATTACTTATTCTTTACCATTCATTTTTAATGCAGTGTCTCAAATAGCCCTTGTTTTCCAGATTCTCACAATGAAAATATAAGATGAAAGTGGTCACATAAACTGATATCAATTCATTAAAAATTCAATCACGAGAGAAAGTCAAGCTTAATGTCATATGATATATGTGTTTTATGTAATAGAGTTCAGGACATTATTT